CTGCTTCGCTTTTCCCGCTGCCCAGGCCCGGCTCAGGCCCTGAACCCGCAGCGCTGTGGACGCGCGAACGCACCGCTCTGGACGGTCAGCCCGTCTTCCCTGGACGTGAGTGGTGGGGCCTGCGGCCTAAAAATAAACACCCACTTCCCTTGGGGGCGTTGGGGCTCATTCTATTTAAATTGCACAGATTGTTTCCATTCCTTGGTGTCTGAAGTATTGAAGGCTGAAATCTGCTGCTCGGCTCTTTGCTCGTATTTGTTTTAATGATGGAGCCAAGCCATGCAACAAGGGCTGCGCCTATGGCAACCGCAGCAACACAAGGTCAGGCCTCCACCAGGGTGGGGAATGAAACCGCCCGGGAGAGCCAGGCGCGGGGAGCTCCCTGTTAGGGCCTGGGTGGGAAGGGAGGGACTGGGAGCAGGTCTTGAAGAAATGCCAAGAGGACAACAGTGATTTCACGATAAATTCTTCATTGTGCTAACTCAGCTGAAATTTTTCAAAAGCATGCCGTACCCTTTGGGTTAAAAGGAAATATTGAAATTCAGTATTAATGCTTATTTCAAACAGTTACTTGAAGGGAAAGTATTTCACCTTAATTCATATTCATATAATTGCATGCATTATCCTTGATATTATCGGTATACGTTATATATAATATATATTATAATATATATTCAAAAGTTCAGAAATAACAGAAGTAAAACCAATGAATCACCAAAATAGTAATTAGTAAAAGTTTACTCTGCACACACCAAAAAGACAGTGCAAACCGGAGCACTTGGCACTCAAACCAAACCATGGAATGAGACTCAGGGCGGCTTATCTAGTGAGAAAGCAGTGACTGTTTATTCTTCGCAGTGATTGGTTATGATATTAGAATTTTCAGTGGTTACCTCAAATTAACCCTGGGAAACAGTTCAAGTTTTGCATATGATTTCCAGAGGCATAAGCAAGAAATGACCCAGATCAAGTTAATCTTGCAAATAAGCTAAATTAAGCTTTGTTTGTATGACTAAATCGGTTTGTCTGCTTAGGGAATTTTCAAGGCTGATCTTTGATATCTATACAAACACACGCATACACATACATACATGCAAAGCATGCATATAAGTGCATATATAATTATATATGTGTTATATGTGAGGTATGCATAATGTGTTATGTATGATGTAATTATATAATAGTACCTTTATTTTGAAACTTTGTACTTCCAAGCTGACATTATTTGGAAAACACTTGCACACTTTCTACTTTGAAGTTTATCTTTCATTCTTAAATATAGAGTTGAAATTCAACATTCCTCTGGATCCAGCCTAAAAAATAAAACTTTATTTCCTTCTAAAGGGAGAGTTCTCAACCCTATTTCATCCCAATACTCGCTTTTTATAATGAATATTTATCACCTCCTTAACTATCCTAAAATGCATTTCATAGATAATATTATTCCTAATAACATATTTTTAAAAATGTCTGTATTGATTTCAGAAAGAGGAAGGGAGAGGGAGAGGGAGAGAGACATAGAAACATCAATGAGAGAGAGTAATTGATCAGCTGCCTCCTGCAGGCCCCCTACTGGGGATGAGGCCTGCAACCTGCGCGTGTGCCCTGACCCAGAACTGAACGGAGATCTCCTGGATCCTAGGTCCATGCTCATCCACTGAGCCACACTTGCTGGGCCCCATGACATAATTTAAAAAAAAGCAATACAATGCTCTAACTAAAATATAAAGGAGAAATAAAAGGAAAGCTATACTACTACAATATGGGGCCGTGATAGTAAAAGACATAATGAAGTAGACATATGCTTGCCGTTATTTGTAGCATCACAAATGAAAGTGATAGCGACAAATGGAGGCTAATACAGGTGTCTCATATTGGCAAGTAAAATGTCCCAAATTGGGGCTAGGATTTTCTGAAATGGCAAATAAGCTCTTAGTAGAGCAAGCAAAACAAAGTATGATCTTCACTGTTTTTACTTTGTAGTTGCATGCAGGGACTTCGGTGTATGTTGAAACCATGCAAAAGATATTTTGTGTTTATATGTAAAATGGAACTGGGTTCTAGTCTCAGGTAATCATAAATAGGGTGTTTGGTTTATTTGATTTTCTTACACAAATATCCAATGAGATGTTCAGCATTTAATAGCACTGTTTCATGCCAACAGTGCTATCCAAATATTGTGACAGCTAATCCTCCTTCCCACACAGATTTCCAAACATCCCCTGGGGGCAATTCCAAAGCAGCCTACCTTTGAAGCCACTGTTCTAAAGACAGAACTCTTCCTCCAACAGGAACACAGCGTTAACCTATTTTATTCATTGACTTGAGATTGAAATCAAAGAATGAAATGCAACGTTGCTGAAAACCAGACCATCTTAAAATCAAAGTGTGGTAAGTTGATCACAATGAAAGCAGTCTCTTCCTAGGGCTTCCCACTTCAGGAGAGAACAGAAATGATATTTTATTTACAAACAGAAAGAGCTAAGCCTCCAAAAGCTTCTCTAAGCATTTTGTGGGTGCAGCTGGCCCCGAGTCCAGGTGATGCCTTGGGTCTGGAGCTCAGTGGTGGGAATAACACTGTAGCACTTCGATTACCAGCTAAATGAAAGGGTGGGAAGTAGAGGCAGCATTCTCAGCTTCTGCAGCTGCAAACAGCATCCTTCTGCAGAAACCGTGCCAAGCTGGCTTGAACACAGCATCTCTTCTGCAGGGCTGAGTGTCATTTGCTCGTCTGCAAATAACATAAATCACAGGCACGTCCTATATGTCGTATGCCAAATAGTGAAGTGGAGATGTGCAGGGAAGTAAGACTGGATTAAGAGGAAAGAGATGAGGCAATAAATCTCAATCCTGTCCTCGAACTGGAATCTCTTGGGAAGCCTTTAAAAAATGTGGATGCCTGGGTCCATCCTTATGGTATTCTTTTTCTTCCCAGTAAATGTTAGCTAATTTTATTCAGTTTATGTTCTCATTTTTTATATACTGTCTGTTCCCAATGGGATTATTTTTGAGAATTTTGTATACATCTCAGTATTTTTCTCCTGAATTCAGGGCTCAGGATTTTATAACATATCTTCTTATGAAATAGAAAACCAGGGACACTACGTTTGTTTCATGACCAGCCCCACTTAACCTCCCACTCATTGAAGCTAAAAGCTGACTGTAGTCCTATCCCTTTGTCTCTCTAATTCACATTCCCCTAGCTGTGAATTTACCATGACATTTTCAATGCAAGTCCCCCACCCCTGCTTCTTCCCATCTCAATCCATCTAAATTCGTTAGCTTAACTTGATCTGTAGTGATGTCTACTCATGGCATTCTGACAGCATTGTGGTGGTAGGACCTCAGCATCAATTTTACAAGCCCATTGGGCTATTCTAATGTGTAGTCAGAGCAGAGAACACTAATCTGGCAACTGGATATGAAAGAGTAAACATTTGTCTCTGTTGCCAGTCCAGAGCTTTCACAAAGTAATTAAATACATGTGGATGCTCCCACAAAGGAGGTTTGGGCCACAGTGTATATTCATCCTGAAATATTAACTAGCATTATCACCTTGGGCTGGTTAATTTATCTAAGACTCACTGTCATTTGTCAAATGAGGTTAGTTATAGCACCTGCATTACACAGGTGTGAGGCTTAAAAAAGATAAAGTGTAAATCACTTAGCATGTGCTTGATAGAAAGTGCTCACTAGGTAACTGCTATTTCATCATCATCATATTATTATTAAATGGAATAAAAATTGGATTTAGGATTCATAACGTGGTAAATATGCCTCCATGAAGAAGTACACACTCTAAATGCAAACAAAAAAAATCTTTAAAAATCATTTCCTATTCTTAGAGAGTTTTTCCTTTGAATGTGGATGGGGGCAATTTAATAGATTTTCAATATTCAGTTATGAATCTGTCCCCAATCTTTTTTGCCATTCCCACCCATGAACCTCTATCTTGTTAATCTTCCACAAAACCCACATCAGGCTTTATTTATTATGCTTTATTTATTATCTCTCAGAATATCACATATCTAATATTTCTGTCCATTTATGCTCTATAAATACGAATTCCAGACTTGTGTAGCTAGCACTTTTCTGGCCCTAAGGGCTCCACAAAATGGACTAGGACCTTCATATATAATGCATAGTCTGTAGGGTTGGGGAGAGGAGATAAGATGAGCTGTGGTATTGAAATTGAAAGAACAGGGAAAATAACATTGAAAGTAAAAAAAATACATTAAAAAAAAAAAACTGACTGGGAGAGCAAGACTGACAATTGCTTCAACTCTTCCCCACTACCAGGAGAGGGGAGGGGAGGGCAGAGGAGGGAAAGGAAGGAAAATGAGCCTGCAAAAAGATGGTGAGTCCATTCACTCCATCATCTGTACGGAGGAGAAGTTCGATCTGAGCAAGGCTTGACTCACAAGCTGGTCTCAGGAGAATGTAGACGGAAGGGCTAATGAACTCCTGTTCAGTACTGTGACCCCACCTGTGAGAGCGGTGCACTGAATGTCCCCATCTTGATAATTAGCTCCTCCAGCTCCCTTGGGTGAAGTGGAAAAGGGTGAATAAGGAAACCCAAAGTGTCCCCTCAACACTCCCCACCCACAGAGTGGGGAGAGCGGTGGAAGCCCTTTTGTCTATGGAAGGATGTGACAATAAAGGAAGAACTGTTAAGTTCCCTACCTGGCCAATAAAAATATTTGGCGATTGTGTGATTTGAGATTGTGCTATTGCCTTCTAATAACTGCATGAATATTTTCAATTGTAGGTGAGCTGTGCCTCTACCTGCTCAATTCTTAGTGACAAATACCAGGTTTTGTCTTATCTTTGCACAGTAGCCAGTGATAAGGTCCAGTTGAAGGCCATGGTAAAGCTTATCCAAGACTTTGGTTGGGTCTGAGTAGGCGCTGTCACAGCAGATGATGATTCTAGAAAATACGGAGTGAAAATTTTTAAGGAAAAAATGGAGAGTGCCAGCCTCTATGTTGCATTCTCTGAAACCATTCTCAAAGTCCATTCCAATGAGAAAATGTAAAAAGTATTGATGCTATAAAGAAATCTACTGCCAGAGTCATTGCACTTTATGCATCTGATATTGAACTCAGTTCTTTTGTGCTGGAGATGGTTTACTGTAACATAACTGACAGAACATGGGTGATGAGTGAGGTCTGGATGACCTCAGCCCTCAATGCAAAGCCTGAATATTTCCCATATTTCGGTGGAAGCATTGGGTTTGCAATACCAAGAGCTGATACCAGGATTAAAAGAATTTCTTTAGGATGTACCTACTGACAAGGGTCCAAATGATGTTCTAACCATTGAATTCTGGTAAACTGCTTTCAACTGTACTTGGCCCAAGAGTAGTGTTCCATCCTACATTGGCCATAGAGTGAATATGACGGGTAAATAGGAGAGATCACATGTCTGAGAAATTCTGTACTGGAGAGGAGTTGGAAGATCTTAAAGATATCTATTTGGATGTGTCTCAGCTAAGAATTACAAGCAATGTCAAACAAGCTGTGTATTCTATGGCTTATGCTGTGGATGGTCTAAAGTAGATGTGAAGAGGAACATGAGCTACAAATTCCAAGAAACACCTGAGCATACCTGACTTTGAGCCTTGGTGTAACTGGAACCAAGGTTTTGCTGCCTGTTGTCATGAAAACCAAACTCATGAGACACTGTATGTTGGATATTACAGAACTTCAGCCCCATCCAACCCTACATTCTCTCCTAGATCGAAAGCAACACTTCAAAATTCCACATACATGCTCAGCATTCCTGGCCCTACCACATGGAACAAGTGTGGAGTGCTGAGCCTTCTCAGCATTTCACTAAACTATCACTGTGTCTGGAACTGCTGAACCACAACTTCTCTCTCCCTCCCTCCCTTCTTTCCTCCCTTCCTTCCTTTCTTCCTTCCCTCCTTCCTTTCTTTCTGCTGTAGACTAAAACTTCCTCATCTATAAGTCCTTTAACACCAAATCCTTTTATTTTGTATATTTGGTCAAACAATTCTGTCTTAGCTGAACTGGGAGAAGTTCAAATATAAGGAAGAGAAAAAAGGAGAGCACAATGACATACTGAAAAAATTCTTATCAAAGTATAGAGTTAAAGAAGGTTGTGTTGGCGGGGAGAATGGCACCAGGTTAGACCGGTAGAGTCAGCAACCTCGGTACTTAAGTTTGGGCTAGGAAAGAATTCAGAGCCAAGACTCAAACTATAATAGAAAGTTTATTTAGAAAGTCACAGTAGTATAAGTGAGTGGTTGGAGAAATGGGCTTAGGAAACAAGTTACAGAGGCAAAAGAAGGGCCCTTGAAGCTTAGGAGATAGTAAAGGTAACTGTGCCTGGGGGGAGGAAGAGGGGGAGGGGAAAAGCAGGCATGCTCCCTAGAGGGAGAGTGTGCTGGGTCCTCCCTCCTAAGGGCTTTTAAGGGCAGAGGTTTTGGAGCAGTCCCAGGGAGGATCCAATAGAATATTCATCAGTTTTCCAGGTGTGTCCTTTCAGGGCTGTGGTCTTCACTGATTAGTCATTAGTCAATGCAGCTGGTCCTGATGTCAGCCATGGCATTGCTTGTCTGGTTTTGCTGCTTTTCTGGACCTGGAGCTGAAACACAACTGAAGTCTAGATGCATCTGATGTGGGTCAGAACCAACTTGTTTTGGAGCCTAATGCTTAAAGGCTATTCTCCATCCCCCTTGTTCGTTCCCCCTCTAAGGGGTCTAACCCACATAACTAGCAACATGCCAGGGGAGGAAAGGTCAGGGGAGGGTCTGAACCACATGACCAGTGATAAGAAAGGTCAGGGGGTTCTAGACTGCATGACGTGAGCAGCAATATACTAGAGGAGGAAAGATCACCCCGTTTTGCCTATAGATAGGCACCTGGGGCTTTTCACCCTGGTTACCTTCTGTAACTGGGCTATAATCCTTCCTCTGATCTTGCCAACTACCTACCGCAGCTACGTTATAATTTTTTTTAAATTTCAGGTTTATAGAGGTCTAATTTATAGAGAAAAATTCATCTTTTTTAGGTGTACAGTCAATGAGCTTTGTCAAAGGCATACAAAACTGTGTAACCAAGACCACAACCAAGACTTAGCACATTTTCATCACCCCAAACAGCTCCTTCATGGCTCTTTGTAATCAATTTCTTCCCCAGGCTTTCAGCCTTTGGCAGCCATTGATGTGATCTAGGGTTTCGCCTTTTCGGGAATGTGATATAAATGACAATATATAATTTTTTTAATATGGTTTCTTTCAGTTAGCATAATGCTTTTAAGGTTCATTCATGCCATGTATCAATGTAATACTAAGCAGTATTACATTGCATGGATGTGCAATAATTTGTTTATCGGTTTACCAGCTGATCATTTAGCTTGCTTTTTGA